GTTCATTTTTGCCCGTAGCCAGTGGGCAGTGTCTTTTCGCCACTGCCATAGACTTGCTATGTTTGTAGCAGTTCGTTGAATGGACCCGTAACGAACGGCATTGATTGCTGGTCCGCGTGAATTTTTGACTGTCACGGTCATAGACCTAGCATGTCCGTGGCGGTACCGCCCCAAACATGCTAGGTCTGTGGCGTTCGAAAAACGCATGCCGTTTGATTTTTTTGAATAGTGATGAGCTAATGGACAAAAATACTATTCATTTTCGCCCATAGACCTTCGTTTTCGCCGGTAGGCATTGCGAGAGACAGAGGGATATTTATATATAAATATCTAATTGATCACCTCCGCATTCATCTCCCTCTCCCTCTCGCTCTCACCCATTGACAAGTACCAAGTCGACCCACTCTTAATTAGAGAAAAAGAGCATTATGGATGGATCTCTAACTGTAGAGATGGAACTTGTAGGTTGTAGGATGGTATAATTAAAGATTCCGACACATTAGGGCCCTTGACCTGTAGCCCTTTGTTCACACAATCAAACATGATAAGCCTATAAAATTAACAATCAAATCCCCTTCTTTATTGCTATCCCTCTCTCTCTCTATTGCTCCATTCTTAAATTTATTTGTTCTCTCTCTAATTATCAAGACATAGGTCATTTCTTTTTCTTGCCCTCACTGTCCTAGCATCTTATAGGCACTTCTTAAACTAATGTGCCCTCCACATGCATGCAGCAAGATCACCCCAAAAAGCCCTAATCCATGGAACCCTTTTTCCTTGGTTGTTGACCCTAGCTTAATTGTCCAAATCACTTAATTCTTAATAGCTATATTTATTATAATTATTGTTCTTATTATTATAAACTAATGTAGTGCTTAAACTAATTCATGGCCTAATATATTTATACTTATATTGGGAGACACTTGTTGTTGCGAGATTAAAATTATGGGTCCAAACATGGCTCCTCTATATAAATAGAAGGTATGATTACATATTTGTAAATTGTGCCTTTCACCTTGACTGTTGACTCTGGTGGTGACTTTTTTTTTGCTAACCAAGTCAGGTTGGATTTATCATATAAAAATTAGCATGCAAATACTTGGTAGGAAACTTAATTGTTTAATAAGGCTATGTTTTTTAGTGTATACGGAAGATCACAATCACTTTTAATTGTTAAATATAAAGTTTCGTAATAGCCGTGTGTCGTTGATCAAACTCAAGTTATAAAATCTTTTCAAACTTTATGATTACAACGTTAGCCTTTAGATGTCACATCTAATAGCAAGAGATGAATGTCACCTTCTTGCACCAGAGGCGAACAGTTCTATAAGTACACATTCCTTTATTATTATGAATAGTATTGTTATTGTTGTTGTTTATGTTTGGGTGCACATTTTATTTTCAAATTCCAATTTATAAAAAGATCCAAGATTTTGGAAATGGCATATGTGTTGCACGACGCACTAATTTAGGGACATCATGCGTGCATGAGGGTTAAAAGTTATTAGATACCTGATAATCGTGAATATAAATCTTGCACAATTGAAGGTTAAACGTGCCATATTCTACAAGATATTGACCATAAAAAATCTACTGTCAATGTTGTCCAGTTGATTGGGAACAGCAAGAGAGGGAGAATATGCACATGTTCTTGTGGACAAATTTATATACTAGTTTTTACACACAAAACTGGGTTTCATGGCTAAAGTTCACAAAAAAAAAAAAGTTTATACTCAAAACTAGGATGACATATTCGGAATCTACCCTTTCTGATTTGGTTGTAAACTCAAATAAAGCTCAAAGTTGATAAAGTAGGTTTGAGCTTAATTACAGTTTGTAGTTCAGAGATTTACACTCTTTTTATATAAATTGCCAACGGCTACCAGCTCAAAATCCCTATTCGTTGCAAGAATTTTTAAAAAATTGATAACTGAAGCTAAAAAAACAATCAAATAATGAAATAAAATAAAATCTTAACAATTGTGGCACACAAGTCTAGCATCTAGAGTCAGGGACTGGATCAGACTATTCATGAGTTTTGGTATTGAGTCCTCATCAACTTGAAGATTTGCCTATAATAAATATTGAACGAGGAGGCTTGATTGACCAATGAAAAGGTTTTGATAGGATTTGAAGGCGATGACGACCTAAAGATTGGATCTACAGATTATATAGCCTTAACCGGTTTTCTAGCACAGTTAGGCTTTTGGTGACCTAAACTAGGGATCTAAGGCTGAATTGGACACTAGAACTAGGTTAAGGTTGACAGATCATAGAATTAAGGCTTTCTCTCAATCTATGGATCTCTTGTTATTGACTAATATTGTGTAGAACTGTTTGATTCCATTTGATTGATAGTGTATCCGGAAACATGTTATGTGGATTATTCATTTTCAAATATTTACAAATTCAAAATATTTTGCATTATTTTTAGAGCTTCAAATTTATAGTCTAGGTCTGAAACAGATCTCAAGCCATCGCAAATGCTTTTAACACTAAAATTGTATTTTTCAACAGGTTTTGAGGTGCCACTTTACCTTTTCTCATAAAACCTAGCACCACACTCTTTCTACTATCCCCTTGTCTGCAAAGTGTGGGTCATGAACAAACCAAGGCTTCAACACAACGATTACATAATATATGAGATAATGCTACTTTCATTTCGGCATTGCTTTTTGAGTATTTTACAAGTTTTTTTCTCTCTATTGTGATCTCTTCTCTTTACTTCTTGCTTTCAAATGCCTCAAAATACAAATTCAATTGCTCTCGATTGAAACACTTCCATAAAAATGAACACACACAAAAATATAAGAAAGAATATGTTAGGGTTCTTTCTCGTCTCTCCTTTCCTTCATTTCTCTTCTTAATGAGGCTTAAAATACAGAAGCATGCTCTCTCTCTCTCTCT